CCCCCCCCCCCCAATTTATTGGTTTCGTTTCCATGTACCCCGTATCTACGGTTCTCAATGAGCTGACACAGCAACTATTTCCCGCGTGGGAAGGATTATTTATCGGTGGATTTTTCCTTTTGTATCTGTCGTATAGAAGCAACAGGAATGTGGTTTCTAAGGAGACTGCTAAGAGTGCCGTGGAAGGAAAAGAAATCAAAGGAGGGAGTGCTTGATGAAGCCCAGGTGGGACACTCAATGATAAAAAACAATCAGGAAACGACAAATGCAGCTTTTGGAACACCTGAATGGACATAAGGGTCTTGAACATCTAGCTCTCACTGGTAAAATTGAAGGCAAACGAGGCAGGAGTATGCCCAAAACAATCTACTTGGGGAACCTAAACAAATAGTTAACAGGGAAAGATCAGAGAAACATAGGTTGTTGTTTTTTTTAGAGCATCCGAGCAAAGGAATGAATGGAGAACCATGATCGCCGATGTCTGTCGCAGATCTGGCACTGGATGATGATGATCTGTCGTGAGCTGCTGTGGGTCAGGCGTTGGTAAACTGCGGCCCGCCGGCTTTTTTCGACCCGACAGCAAAAAAGGTGCTACCTTAAACTTTGAATTAAAAATTTCTGACACTTTCGGCCGTTTTGAATTACTATCAAACTATAAGACCAGAAATCAAATGTTCTGCTCTACCAAAATCGTAAGAGTATTCCGAGTCTTTATCAAGATATTCAAAGAATAATCGCTTTTGAAAAAGCTTGACAAAATAATAGTGTAACTCGAAACTTTTGAGGTCATATTATTTCTCAAAACTAGGTACTGAGTAGATAGAACTTTGTAATTCTAGGGTAACGACTTATGTCTGTCTATCTAGCCCCGTGAGTTGACCCAGTTATTACCCATGCTTATGACCCGTACTGAGGTGATAGACATAATTGATGTTAACAAAACTTCAAGGTGTGAAAATTAAAATTAATAGTCTCCGACACAGTTAGAAACGATAGATCTACTATTTTTATATCTTGAAATACTCTTGAGTGACATATTCATACTGTGGTATCAGTTGTAGTCACACCTTTGAGAGTCTTGATTATCTTGAGTATCAGTTTTAGTCTCACATTTGAGAGTGGGTATTTCACCCTATTCTTTTTCCGGGATTTTATCGCCCTTGCCCGAGAAGGTTGGGAGTATATATTTCCTACCAGAAGATCAGGCGTGTGGCTGAAAGACAGCAGTAAGAAGGAGCCAAGGAGTAGCAGTAGAAAGATTTTTCCTGCTTTTGCATGGGAGAATGTATTATCCAGGCTTGCTTAATCTGCTAAGACGGCCACCCAGTGCCAGGGAGGAAAGTGGTTGTTTTAGACAGGTAGACGTCTTACATAGTGTCAAGCTATATGTAAGGTAGAAAAACCATGCGAATAGATGTGTGTGGGAGAGGGGGGGGAGCAGGAGAAGTGTATTCGAACTGTCACCTGTATAAGACAATCACATGTACAAAAGGCCACTTGTGTGTGTGTGTGTGTTTTACGACGCTCGCAACTGCATAAGGTCATATGAGCACGTGGGACACATCAAAAATTTTCAGTTGGTAAGAAATTTTGAATTTTTTTCCGAGTGGCGGTCGAAGCCTACTCTTATCGGTTTTAGACCACCAAGGGATCTTTAACGTGTGCAACATGCACACCGGTCTTCCGAGATTTTTCGCCCTTGTCCGAGAAGGCTAGGTGTAGATATTTCCTACCAGAAGATCAGGAGTGTGGCTGAAAGACAACAGAAAGAAGGAGCCAAGGAGTAGCAGTAGAAAGGCTGCAAAAAGACTCTAAAGCCCATTGGAGGGAGCAAAGGGGGTGAAGTGGTGGGGACAGAAAGTGGAAACGAAAGCAAGCGACAGAACATTGCTAGAGAACAGGGCGGGAAAGGAGGCGGAAGGATACAATTTTAGAGAAGAAAATTGTTCGGTTGCTACCCGGATTTGAACCCGGGACCTTTGAGAGAGAGGCGACTCCTTTTTTGTGATTGCTACTTTCTTGTAACACCTCTAGTCTTCGGCACTATATGACCTTTTGTGTTTGCAAGTGCCGTAAAACACTTACTAAAACTAAACTAAAAACCTCTACTAAAACAAGACTGTTTACAATCAGTCAGTGTTAGTATTGTGTTCCTGAACCTACATAAGTGGTCGTCTGACAGACGTAAAACACTTACTAAAACTAAACTAAAAACCTCTACTAAAACAAGACTGTTTACAATCAGTCAGTGTTAGTATTGTGTTCCTGAACCTACATAAGTGGTCGTCTGACAGACAAACTAATGGTATTTATTGACGAGTCCCATGTAGAGGTGGTGAGCTAGGATGATTTTGTTTGAGTGTGTGTGTGTGTGTGTGGGTGTGTGTGTGTGTGTGTGTGTGTGTGTGTGT